AAACCCGCCCCCAAAACCCTTCCAATGCCCCCGAGAGGACATCGTAAACACGCTGTGTATGGGACCCAAAGACTGTCTCTACACTAACCCCGAGAACTGCAATACTTTCATTCAGTGTACTGTCAATCCCGGTAACCAATCGGGAACTCCGGTTGTGATGCCCTGTCCCGCGGGACTCAAGTGGAACGACAACGAGAAAATATGTGATTGGCCCGCAAACGCCACGTGCCGTCACTATAGAAACTATAGAAACTGAATGCCTTCCCAACCGTCCCATCATTGGATGCATTAAAAGGATTTTTATATAAATCATTTTTTATAAGATTGTCCTGGTCAAATTGTATTAAAAAAGTTTATTGGAAAAAATTATATAATCTTTTATAAAATAAAAATAGTAGTTTAGAAATGATGACAATTTGTTATGCAAATTATTGAATTTATTTTTTTTTATTATGTAGTTTGGATTTTATTTATTGATTCCAATGTTATTTAAGTTTTAATAAAATTTCTTCAAGCATAGTTTTCTATCAAAAATAATTTAATAGAAATATTTAAATTTCAAAAAGTTATCGCTATTATAATAAATAAAACGATACCTAATAAATGTGAATCATAATTTTACGTAACGTTAAAGTTTATCAATTTTAATAATCCAATATTGATTTTAAAATGCACAATGTTATTAAACTTTTTTATTAAACAATGATATTAATACTGTACAGTATATGAAACAATATTTATTAGCAATGTTTGTAATGTTTTGGTATTCTTGCTTTCTCATATATTTTTATATATCAATTCATGTCTAAATTAACCTTTACAACATTCCAACTAATAAAATCTAATTAATTGGTGGAACAGTAACTGGCTACCAAAACCCACAAAATGATTATCCAATTGACTTTTATATTACATAAATAATAAAATATTTTTAAAAATTAAAATTTAAAAAATATTATAAAATAAAGTTCTGAAAATATATTTAATAACGTCAAGATAGGTTAAGTTTTAATATTTTAAAATAAAAATAACTAAGTTATTTAACAAAATATTAACGCATAAGTTTATTTTAGATATAATACAATTATATAATACATCATTATAATATCAATAATATGTCAATGAGCATGATGAATTTATAATGCCGGATCATTAGATAGAACATGCCAATAAATCACCATGTTCTGTGTTACGTGTTACAAATATTTGTGAAATACTTTGTAAATCTTCTAATTACCCGTAAATATAAAACATATCTATTAACACAATAATCTATTAAAATGTAATACAAAAGTATTATCATGTCAAAGAACCCGTAAATTATTTATGTAGATTATACCTTGATTTTTTAGTACACTGGGTGGTAGGGGGTACATCATAAAACTGAGCCCAACTTAAATATAATAGATTATTAACTAATAGATTTCCAAAAAAAATATAATCTTGTAGAATTTTAAAAATTTTATTTTAACGTGTAACATAAGATTTACAAAATAAAATTCAATAATTAAAATATTATTTGGATAATTGCACGAGATAACCTGGTGATCCTGGTTATAAAAGTAAGATTTTCCTCAAAAGCATAGCTTCACACGAATACGACAACTAAAGGATTTAGAGATTTAAGGATTAAATCAAATTTATAATTTATTTAGCGACAAACAAATCCACAGAAATCGACGTGAAATGAGATTATATTTTACTATAAATATAAGGCATAGAAACCAATGGAAAGTCAGTTTCAGCCGATTTCGGAGTTAAACTGACGGTTAGATAATCCATTGAAACACATAATGAGTTATTTGACTAAAACGGTAGTGTTTGCGCTGTTAGTCGCACAAGCATTGGGTAAATGTTCACTCATTTTCATTATTAACACAAATTATATAAATACTATATTTTGCTAATTAGCGTACGACTGGCCAATCATTGACGGGTATCCCTGTCCTAGAGAGGACATCGTTAACACTGGT